TTAGCGTTTAGGGTTTAGGGGTTAAGGGTTTAGGGTTGAGGGGTGGAGGGTCTTCAGGGGTTCCTCTACGGCTTAAGATAGCAACTGGGAGAACTTCTTTGAGGATTTTGGCCTTATATGTTGGGCCTCTGCTCAGAAAAAGGAAGTTTTGATGTTTTTGGGGCCGGTTACTGAAGAAGAGGGACGGTTGTAGAGAGCTCCTTTAAGGGGTTTAGGGTTTAGGGTTTAGGGTTAAGGGGTTCTTTAAGTCTTGTGGCATGGGCTATAATAATAAGGTTTCGTCAAGGGGGTTGGGCTTGGGATTTCTGGTCCTCTAAACCCTAAGACCTGAACCCTAAACCCTGGGCTGGCCTTGCAACCCTAAACCCAAAACCCTAAACCCCAAACAACAAGGGTTCATTGATTCCATGTCAGTGATCTGCGAGTTCGAGCATCCTGCCCAAACTCTGAGCGCATAGCCATGTCCTCGAGCCCAACAACCCCTTCAGTCTAGGGGCTTTAGGGGTCTAGCGCTTTAGGGGTCTAGGGTTTTAGGGGTCTATGGTTTTAGGGGGTTGAGGGTTTTAGGGGTTGAGGGTTTTAGGAGTTGAGGGTTTTAGGGGTCTTGGGTTTTAGGGGTTTGGGGGTTTTAGGGGTTTGGGGGTTTTAGGGGTTTGGGGGTTTTAGGGGTTGAGGGTTTTAGGGGTCTAGGGTTTAAGGGTTTTGGGCTTTAGGGGTTTAGGGCTTTATGTAGGGGTTTAGGGTTTTAGCGTCTCAGGATCTAGGGTTTTAGGGGGTTTTGTGGTGTAGGGCCTCAGAATTAGACCACAATAAGAAGGATGGGGGCTCGCTCAACCATGGCTGCCAAGGTAGAACCCGCTGGAGTCGGATCCATGTAAATTTCAGGACCTAGGAACCCGGCAGCTGGAGCCCTCGTCTTGCCTGGGAGCCTGAAAAACCCGAAACCGTCTGCCCTAAACCCTGAACCCTAAACCCTTGACCCTAAATCCTAAACCCTGAACCCTGAACCCTAAACCCTGACCCCGAAGACTTGGCTGTTCCGAGAAACAGCGACTCCGATCGCACGATCGGGGACCGTCGTGGTCGCAACAGCCCCGAAGGAAAGGTTGCCGGCCCGAGTTCCAGCCTCCCACCCGGCCAGCCGCTCGTGAACCGTAGCGTTCTTCGGTGGAGCCACGTCGTCGTCGCGGAGCATCAGCCGATCGCTCCGACTTTTACCATCAAATTCCCTAAACCTTAACACCCTAAACCCTAAACTCTAAAACCTAAACCCTCAACTGAAAACCCTACACCCTAAATCCTAAAACGGCCCCGACCACATGTGCCGGCGCCGCCTCTGTCTCTCAGAATCTCTCTCAGAGATCTCGAGAAGGCCGGTCTTCAAGATGCTCAGGTAGTGCGCAATTTATAGCAGCATGGGGTTCAGGGTTTAGGGGTTAGGGTTTAGGGTTCAAGGACTCCCCAAAACAGGACACCCTAGTTTCAAGAAGAACACCCTTGTATAATCCTGAACACGCAAGAACCTGGTTTTTAACTCTACGAAGCTTCCCCAAACTACTGAAAGCGCCATCTAAACCTCTGCTAAAATACTCCAAACTCTTAACTCCCGAGCTTACACCCTAGCCCTCAACCCTAAAACCTTAAGCCGGAGCCCTAAACCCTGAACCCCGAAACCCCGAAAGCAC